AGAGAGAGAGAGAGAGAGAGAGAGAGAGAGAGAGAGAGAGAGAGAGATCAGGATCAGAAGACAAATTTGTGAGAGTTAGTTGTTTATTTCCACAACGTGGGTCCTAGGAATTGAACTCAGGTCATCAGGCTTGGCAGTAAGTGCCTTTTACCTTGCAGGACCACATGTGTCAATTGCCTGTCTGCCAAGAACAAGGGAACTAGCTTCCCACTCAGTAGAGGACATCACAATTCCCTATGCCACCCATTCTCCATGGGAGGGCTGGAGTGGGCAAATGACTAACCAGACTCCCTACACAGACTGACACAGCTGGGTCTCCCCCTACTGAAGCTCTGAAACTGACAACCAAGGACTTAAAGCTGGCTTTGGACTCTTCATGGGGCCATTGTAACAACATGAGCACTGAAGGTTCTCTATGGCAGAGGCTGCATGACACAGTTCTAGCTAAAAAGAGTCAAGTTCTCTCTGTCATTTTCTCCTTAAAAAAAAAAAAAACACCCCCATATAGCCCTAGGGATGCCACCCTGGATTAAGCTCTTGTCTCCCCAGAAGTATCACTTTGGGGAGTGTATTTCTATTGTACCCTGACCGTGTAGAGTCAAACACATCTGTGCAGCAAGAACCCAACACAGGTCTTATCTTACCAAAAGGAACTTTAAAGTGTTTGGGGCTGGAAATTGTGGGCCAGAAGTAAAGCACACCAGGCAACAACCACTGCTTTGCCATTCACTAAAGCCGAGCATGACTTTAAAGAGGCAAAGCTGAGGTTTCTCACCATGGTTACTCCAATAAGCTTGGGCAGACCACACTTCATATACTTTATTCTGATACCAGTAAGGGATGAGGGATAGTGATGCCACAGGCTAATTTAGGCCTGATCCAGTCTGCAAAGCTAAACACGAAGGAGCTTTCATCATCCATATTTTGATCACAACATGATATCTTTCCCTTTGCTAAGCCATGCATAAACCCAGCACATGTCCCCCTAGTTCACTGAGTAGAAGCTACTCCAGGGGCTGGCTTTGCCGTTGCCTCGTTCTCTAGAGGAGCTAGGTAGGGGCACCTCCCAAGAGGCCTTTCTGCGTGATAGGCAGTGTCCTGCAGCTCACTGGCACCCCTCAGAGTCTAAAGCTGATTGGCTTCTGCTTATTACCACCCAGTGTGACAACGAAGATGACTACAGAGAGATAAAGAAGGCCCAGGGAAAGAAAGAGAGTGCTTCACGCCTAGCTGCCTCCACTAATAACACCTTGTCCGGCAGCCACTGCAACATGAACATCAACAGGTAAGTCTGTTCCCTAGAAGGTAGGGGTGACCTGGAGCAGTCCACTGAGTCTGACAGTCACGTGCTGTGTTGAGGAGACTGAAGATCCTTTTGATTGCTCTAATCTGTATCTGCGGGCTTGCTTCCCTCAGATTAACCAAAACTGATACTTAGGTCTAATGGGAACCTCTGGCTTGCTTTTGACAGCTATGGCAGGTCCTTCCATGTAACCAGGGACCAGCAACCAGGCAGCACAGCTCTGAACTCTGTACTCCCCAGAGATGATCTCTCCCCAAAATGTGATAACCAAAGGTTACAAGCTAGTATTTTAATAGTAGCTGCTAAGCACGTAAGAACATAAAACCCCAAGGACTTGGGAAATCCACACTTTGAGTCTTCAGGTAACGGACCTAAGCTCTCGGGCATAGACAAATTGTGGACTTAAAAAGGATGTGTGCTTCCAAGGTCAAACCTCCACCCAGTGATTCCTCTAGAAGAACAACACAACCCCCCCACACACACACATACTCCCTCCCTCTGTGATAAATGGTCCTCCAGCAAGGCAAAGGCCCCAGGTATTCATTAAAGCAAGTAGCTCAGCTTCAGTCATAGAAGCTTTTCCATTTAGAAGCACCTCGGCCCCAGACCCCGCTGTTGCTCTGCTGAGACACCTCTCACTCTCCCTGACTATACATAGAGGACTTTAAAGGGGAGATTAATGGTTCTGCACAGCACATAAAAATGTAAACTGAAAGGTTGGGGAAGATGTAGAGCAGCGCTAGAGTCAGAGATGAAATTGGAGAGCAGAGATATGCGGGCCCACGGTGCTGTGGGGATCACCTTGAGGATGCTGAAGCCCTGCACAGGAGGTCACTGGATACTCAGTGACCCCACAGTCCTCTGTGCATTCCCGAGGACTAGGGAAATGGGAATGGAGGGACTTCACCCCCTGAAATATCTCTCTTTAATGCACAGTATGTTTTATGTGTATTTGTCAGTGCATTAAATAACCTTCCTATCTAGTGACAGTTATAACTGCTGCATAGTGATGAGCACAGATGATATTTCAAGGTGTCTATAACAACTGTGGTCTGGCAAGAAAGCACGGTGGTTTCTGCCAAGGCACAAGTGTGAGTGTCGGTAAGGTGACTCCAGCTTAACTGTTCTTCCGATCCTTGCCCTTGCTTGGGACTGGAGGAGATGCTCCAATGAGAGTGGAGATGTTTGAGAGTGACTATGGATTCTTTCTGCCACCCAAAGTCATGGATCTCAAGTTTAAAATCTCTTGCTCTCACCATCCTGCAAACCTCCTGGATCTGATTGCTTTGCTGACACTAAGTAGCGATACAATGCGAGCAAACTAAGTAGCAATACAACACAACGTGAGCATACAATGTGAGCAAGCCAGTGGCTTGCTGAGAAAGGTGGTCCCTCAAGCTCTAGGATTGTGCTTCTCACACTTCCACTGCCAAGAGTTACAACAGCAGGAGAGCTCTGAGCTGATCACCCAGCTCTCCAGAGAAAGCTTCTTTGGTCCTCTATGTAAACTGGCAATGATGAAGAGGGAACAATCACAGATACCCATGATGATACTTAATGTCGTAATGTGTTCTTCATGACACATAAAGAATGTAAAATAATAGAAGCTTAGAAGCAGGGTTCTGCACTCCCATGTCAAGAAATGATTGCTTTCAGGCTTCTCACCTCCATCCTTAAAAACAGCATCCTTCCTTTCAGCCAACACAACTTGAGACTCACCCAGAACAGTTGTCTATAACATGTTATAGCCTGAGTACTTTTAAAACCAGAAATTCTGTCTCCACACATATCTATTTGCATGATGTTAAAGAACTTTGCTGTTTAATTTAGAGGCCAGTGCTTAAGATTCCCACTGTGACTACCAGCTAAGGAAATTGCTTTTGAAGTGACTTAATGGCTTGTTTGCTCTGATAACCAACACATAAAATTAACCCATCATAACCCCAGGAGTCACGACTAAACCTTCATTGGTTTTACTGTTTTGCTGTTGTTGTTGTATAAATTGTATTAGGTGACTCTATGGACATCTTTGGTTAGCAGTGATTAACTATTTCAGGATAACATATCCTTTACAAACAAGTCTTCTTCCTAATGCAAAATACATAGATCCCTAGCAATAAGCTTCCTCATATACACTGTAAGACTTTAGTGTAAGCGAATTCGTCTTCTCTGATGGTTGATTTGGAGAAATTCTGTTTAAGAATAGACTATAGTCTTTAAGGTAATCTAAGAGCTAAGGATCAGAAATTGTGGTTTCAGGTACCAGTTGCTTTATCCTGTGTTTATTCTAACCAATGCCTGATGATTTCAGAGCCTCAGTGGTTGGAAGGTGGCTTCAGGCCTTGGAGTCACCCTGATGTTCTGTGACTGTATCCTATAGACTCAGTCACTGGCCGGTGAGTGCCCTCTAAGAAACTAGGAGCTCGGTTTACTGCTGTTGATTCTTGCTTGGCCTTTCCAAGCTACTCAGGCTTGTGAGGAAAAGCTTGTTTATTCAGTATTTGTAGACACCTCGATGAAGACCCAAGAATGTGGACATGGTACTCTTCTTAGTCCTTCAATGGCAAGAACTCAAGATTGCTGCATGTCCTGATAAAGAAACCAAGCATGAGATTTATTTATTGTTTACTGGTTTACTGTGGTCCTGATGCCATAAAGTCACTTCGCCAAAATAATTCTCAAGAAATTTCTTCCTGCCAGCAGATGTTAAATGAGAGGCTGGGCCGTACAAGAAGCACGGCCTTTCTTCCTGTACAGACTGGGATGCTCTGTTCCTGTTCTCTTTTCAGCTTGGCAATACCAATAAACAAGAATGAAAAGATGCTCCGATCACCCACTTCGCCACTCTCCGATGCATGTAAACACAAATACTCCAGCGAGGACTTGACTTCTTCCAACCGACCTCACGGCAATGGGTTGTTGACTTCAGCGTCTTCCAACAAAGAGCTTAAGGCTGAGAACCAGCTGCAGACGCATGCTGGAGACCTCACGGTTTGTCAAGGCCCTTCTTCTCTAAGTAAACTCAGTGAAATTGTGAGCCTACCACTCTGTCCCTAGCTTAGAAATACAGATTCTCACAGGAAGTGTGGTAGCAGCACACACTGTAATCCTAGCATTTGGCATTCAACATTCAGCATGAGATAGTTCAAAATCAGCCTGATTTACATATCAAAACATTATGGGGTGGGGGGAGAGAGAGAGAGAGAGAGAGAGAGAGAGAGAGAGAGAGAGAGAGAGAGAGAGAGAATCCTTAAACCCTGTCCTTGATCTACTGAAGCAGAAACTAAGCTAGCAATCTGTTTTAGCAGGCTTCCACATGATTCTGACATGTGTCAAAACTGGGAAAAATAAAAGTCCAGGGCCTCCACCCATGGTTACTACTTGAACTTGAGACTTGCCTAACTCATCCAGTCTAAGTTCTCCCATCCATGAAAGGAGCATAAGACATCGTTTTTTATATTGCTGTGAGAACAGAATTGACAACGGGTGCAGAAGTCCTCAGCTTGATACCTGGATATGCACAAGCTGGGCATCCCTAATCCAAAGGGTTCCAAGATCTGACACTTGCTCGACAGCAGCATAATTCTGCAAATGGGTCATTCAACACCTGATCTCCTCCTAGGGTAGGCCAGAGTCAAAAGAAACTACAAAACTGTTTTAAAGCACAGGGCATGCAATTGCTTTAATATATATAATTACTACATGTGTGGGGCAAAACACAGATGAGTTTCATATTTAGACTTGGGTTCTACCTCCCAAATACTCACTTGTGGTCCCCACTATTTTGCATAAATAATACACAGCCTTCGTTATTTTTTCTTCACTGAAACAAATTCACCATCATTCCTAGTATAGAACAGAGCGATACTCTGTGGGTAAAAATGTATCTAGTGGTTTTGTCAGCATGTCTCAGTGGCTTCTGTCTCGTTTGTTATTTAGAAGGCCTCCCACAACGGTTCTGAAAATGGCATCCTCCACAGCAAGTCACGGCCTCAGACTGAGCCGTGGTCTCCAGGTTCCAATGGCCACAGGGACTGCAAGAGACAGAAACTGATCTTCGATGACATGTAAGTTCTTAATATGATGAGGAGGGAGAACATAGAAAAATAGACCATTGTCTCTCATTTATGATGTGGCTGTTTGCTCTTGCACGATATGGTCATTTAAATGTCCCTCTCAAAGGAAGCCCTAACTTTGTGGGCACCCCTGGATAAACAGGATCACCAAGGGCTAATGGGGATGGCACCCAAGACCTCAAGAAACTGAGAAAAACTGAACTGATGGGCCTTATTTATTCTTTAATTATGTATGTATCTGTCTGGGTATATGTCCATGACTGTGGGTATTCATGGATCGCCCAGTGTGGGTACTGGGACCAAATCAAGCCCTCTGCAAGAGCAGGTCATACTCTTAACTGCCAAGCTCTCTCTCCAGCCTCCAGTGAGTCTTATTTCTAAGGATTTGGATTAAGGGATATTGGATTTACAAAACCAAAAGAAGCACTTTTGGTTTTGTAAGTTAGAATGGTCAAAGAATAATATCGATTTACCCCTGAAGGCTGCTTCCTTGCGAGACTTGGGTTCTTTGTAACAGCATAAACAGCCCTTATATAGAACAACCAGCCCCTCATCTTCTGTTCACTTCTACTGCTAAAACCTGAGTGAACCTCCCATAGCCAGCATCAGCTCACAAGGAGAAAGGAGCAGAAGGTAAGAAGACTGCCAGCCATGCTCTGGTGAGGCTGAAGATCATTTAGGCAGAAGGTGTGCTTTCATGAGTTCAGCCTGAATCCTGCTTTCAGCTGTTAGCCTACCCACAAACATGCAATGTGCGTCCACATGAAGCAGGATAAATGAAGTCTCCAGAAAGAGCAGGCAGGAAATTTCTGCCCTCTGGTGGCTTACAGTAAAACTGCAGAGACAGACTTTGAGTCATATGTCCTCAGTGAAAGTCAAAATATAAACTGCTCTCAACATGTCCCAGACCCTTCTCGGAAGATCAATAATACCTGTGATGACTACGTCCCTCCTTAGGGGTGCCACACAAGCAGCAGCATCTAGGGAGCCTCAGGCACCGTGCTGGAGTCACACTCCTGCTGACTCTTTGACAGTCCTCCCTCATCCTCACCCAAGTATAGACTCGTGTTACCCATTTCTCTGTCAGACCTATACCGAGTCTTAATCTTTTACCTATTACTTAGACTTGATACATTAACCAAAGCACAGAGTTCAGGGGTTGGAAGCCAAACGTGCATCTCTGTGTCATTTAAAAAGCACGTGGTAAGGTAACAGAATCTGGGGAGCAAGGTCTCACCTCCTCCTCTGGTTACTGCAGCTGCATGCCAGCTGCATACATGCAACCCTCCCCTCCCGTCAGCTGCTCCAGCACCCACTCCATTCACTCCCCCTCTGCTGAGAACAACGGTAGGTGTTCAGTGGCCCTTGGGACAGGAGTCAGATAGTCAACAATGGTCTCTTTCGAACTTTGTGTGGAAATTGTCCCTGTGAATTTTAGTCGTTTTTGAAAACTTACATAATTAGATTGATAACTAAGGGAATGGTGGGATCTGTGTTTTGGAGTCATAGCTAATAACAGAAGTGTTAGGCATTGAGGTGCTCCAAACACCAAGTATTTCCGGTATATGATATGGGGAGCATGATAAAGATAAGAAGAAAAAAAAGCAAATACTTATGAGAAAATAAGTTTAATGACTTCTCCAGTGTTCAAAACAGAGGGCTGAGTCAGAAGAGCATCCCAGTATCAGATGTTTCTTGAACTTTTTATGGGGGGAAATGTTTCTGTTTATGTTCCTTGTCTGTACCAGTGAAGAGGCTCTGCCTGTTGGCAAAACGCTGTTGCCTATGCTGGGACTGTTTGTTCGGTTAGGTATATGGTAGAGTGAAATGGAAAAGCACTCCTCCATACCCCCACACGGAGAGGAGTGACCGCTTGCCCCAAATGATTTGAAATCTCTGTTAGTAAAATAAACACAATAGAAACAGCCACTGGTCTGAGAAAGCTCTGGGAAGAGTCTTTATAACCCAAAAAGCAAAGAATATTGTCTCTTCCTTTAAACCATGAAAATAGCTGTCCCTCAAGAGACCAAAGTTGCCTGATGTGCAAAATGTCTTACACATCTAGCTGCTGCATACAAAGCACCTACTATGTGTCAGGTACAGGCAACAGTCAGGATATAATGATGAGTTCATTTTGTCATTCTCCAGAGTCAGAGGAGAGAAGCCCATGAGTGGGACCACTACAACCACCACTACTGTGACTGCTGTGGCCACGCCTGCTCCTCTTCCCACCCCTCCTCTGCCCTCTTAGATCCTTATCTTAGCTCCCATCAGCTTCTTTTCCCCTTCTTCCTCCTTCATGTTCGCTCCCTCCCATCCCCCTTTGCTTCCTTCCCTTCTGTCATAATTAGCTGCAACTTGACATACCTGGACAGAGGAAACCTCAGTTAAGCAACTGTCTCAATGAGAAATGGCCTGTGGGTATGTTTATGGGGCATTCTCTTGAGTGCCAGTTGGTGCAGGAGCCTAGCCCACTGTGGGCAGTACCATCCCTAGGCAGGTGATGGGAATAAACCCTTCCTTTCCTTCCCTTCCCTTTGGACTTTTCCTTCTCTTTTCCTTCCCTCCTCTCACTTCCTTTTCCTCCTCTTTTCCTTC